GAGCTGCAACCTGGGAGTTGGCGTCTTTTTTCCTCACCGCCGCTGCATGCTCAGCCATTCGCGTCCGGAGTAATCTTCCGCTTTCTCTGACGTAGTTGCTTCGTCCACAACTGCATCAGATCCGGTACACGGCTCCAGCTGCGCAACCTATGCATGTTTCAACCCTATCTGCGTGTGACAGAAGCCCTTAAAAACTCCATTGAAGCGGTACATGAATGCATAAAATGTAGTGAATATGCAGAATTTGTTACATGTTATTTTGTTATGCAGAAACGCACAAAAGTCTTTTAAAAAACATGGTTGAAAGGTGAGGCGTTTGCGAAATAGCAGCGTAGAACACGTTCACTGCATTTCCACCATGAAATGTTCGCCGGAGCTAATTTTAATATAAGGTCTGCCGAAATCAAGTAAGTAGTAGATGTTTCTGTTAGGAAGGTAGTAGAGTTAGGACGTTGATCCGGCACACGCTGCGAGTTTGCCTGAGGTAGGTGGACCTTGCCTATGTTAGCGGAACATTGCCAACAAAGGCAAGGGAGATTGGCAATAAGGGAGACTGAACTGGTCACTTTTGGTTCATACGTCGTCATCAGCCAGCCATACCCAGACCCAGGTGGTGTACTACCCAAGGCTCGAACCTGCGACCTGTTGAGTCGAAGTCCAATGCTCTAACCCACTGCGCCAGGAGCCCGTTTTGCCGGTTTAGATCAGGAATATTAGCATTAATTGATGAACGCTCACCAGTCTGTTACGAGGCTCGCTCTCCCCCTTCTGCCTTGGAGCTCGCTCTTATTCCGGGAGCCTTACGCTGATTTCCCTAGGCAGAGCGGGACAAGTGAGTTCCGTTAGCGATCGGTGAAAGTTTGTCAACGAGTGTCACTATTGCCGATCTAAAACGACAAGACAGCGAGCCTGTGGCTCAATGTGAAGAGTATTAGTCTTCTGATCGTAAGGTCACGGGTTCGAGCCTCGTGTGGTGGCCCACTTGGGGTTGCGTACGACTGGCTAATGACGGCTAATAAGACAGAAATCATCATTACAGTCTCCTTTGCCTATAATATGGGGGTTCGGCAGATGCGAATAATTCATTTGACTCAATTGTGAAAAACTCGGCAGCCTCGGTGGGATTCGAACCCACGCCAGCAAATTTAGTGCATCCAACGCTCTAGCCAACTGAGCTACGAGGCTCCTATCAGGAGCCGTGAGTTTAATCACAGTTGGGTCAGTTTATTCGTCCAGCCTACTGCAATATATGGAATTCACCGATTCTGCTACAATAGGCTGACTGCACGAGCAGGATGTCCTAAACAATCAATCAATCTAGAATCCATCAGATTACTGCCGGGCACTGGCCTTTGCCGTTAATGTTTATCTGACTTTAATACTGGCCGCCTGCGGGCCTCGAGAGTGAGGTCAAAGCCAGAAGGGGGTGAATACAGCCCGTGACAGATCGGTGAGCTTTCATCAACCATCGCATCTGTCCTTGACCAATTTAAGAAAGTTATCTAGTAATTCTTTTTCTAACTTAAATGCCTTCTATTGCACAGCTAAATACAGACTCTCCTTTACTTACAAATTTTCAGACATACGCGTACGGAGAGAAGCAAAAAGGCTAGCTTGTGTTCGCTAGTCACAGTCCCGTTTTAGACTTAAAAAAAACCTGCATACTTCGTTGTTATTATGCGCACTTTTGAGTGTAAATTGGAATATAGTAGTACCGCGTATGCCTCCTAGACAGGCCGCGTGGTACCGTGTATTGTACCGCTATCATTTCTGATAATGGGTTCGAGCGAGAATCCAGCACGCCAGACCAATAACCTTGTTGCAGCTATCACATCTTCTCCGCTACCTCAGTTCATATCCCACTTTCTTCTTCCCTCTTCAGAATCGTTTAGGGCCTCTTCTCAGCGAGTGGAGAGCACGGCAGGATCTGAGCGTTACCGCGGAGGCCTACAAGGCTGATTACGGTGCACTGGCAAACTCCCTTCTGGCTGCCATTGTGCGCACCTCGACCAGCGGACAGTCCGCGG